GCGTCAGAGCAGCATCAAATAGACTGTCAAACTACAGTGGGAAGGCTGGGGACGGTTGGGGGGAAGGGTAAGAGATCAACCGAAAGACTTGTATGCATGCATATACGCCTAACCAATGGACATAAGACACTGGTGAATAGGGGAGGCTAGGGGACTGTCTAGGGCGGGGAAAAAAATGGACACATATGTAATTCCCTTTGTAATAAAAAATAAAATTTGAAAAAAAAAAAGAATGAATCTTTTTCTAGTATAAGATACAATCTAGATTTCTTAAATATAAGTTTTATTAAATTGGCATTATTTTTCTTTGATATTCTTTTTTTCTATTTTAATAAATTTAGCTGTTATTTTCCATGTGTAATTTTAGGTTTTGGCTGTATCTGAAGCTATGTCAAACTGTTAATTTGTCTATAATATCCTCTACTCCTGTATAATCAGATACTGAAGGAGAACTAAGGATTGAAAACCCTTTTACCAAGTACTTCATAAGATGCTTGAATTATTTCTCATTACCTTCCACATTTGTAAGCGATAATTATGCTGACATATTTTAGAAAGTGAATATAATACTTGATATGACTTCTCTCATGTCCAACCAACAAGAGACTATTTATACATGTAAAATTTCTTTGCATTGTTGTTGTTTTTGTGCTTCTAACATTGCTTTTATTGGATTATAGCTTTCTGAGAACAAGAAATATATATTATTCATTTTGATTTTTACATGGTGTCTTGTAAATATTTATAATGGAATAAAAGGTAGTTGGATTTAATTGCTTGAAATTATTTAAGTTATTAAAGTATTTATATGAAGAACTGCACTAATTTGGGAGGTAATATTAGACCAACTTCTCCATTGCTCCAGGACTAACACAGAAGAATGTGTGAGGTTTTTATAATTAAAAATAAAAATTTTGTAGCTGGATTTTAATGTGATCCCTTAAACTGAACATGTGATTGAGGCTTCCTTTCGGTATCATCTAATAATAACATAATACCTTTGTTAACATTTTATAAAATTGTTTCACAACACTATTTAAGTTTAAAATATTTGCTTGTGTATATTCATATTGACTAATGTCACCCCAATAAATTTAATTAAAAATAATAAAATATTTGTATATAAACTATTTGTGACATACAGAGTGAATAGAACCCAATTTTAAACAAACCCAATTTTAAAATTAGGCATCTGGTATCTGAGAAGTAAGAGTATTCTCAAGGTCACAGAAACCTTGGCCGTTGGCTCAGTTGGTTGGAGTATCATCACATACACCTCCCATGTCCTGGATGGTTGAGAGTTCAATTCTCTGCTAAAATTGAGTACTGGGATGAGTCCATGCAGAAATATAATAACCCAGAAGAAATGGATAATTTATAAAAGCATACAACCCAAAAGAAAGCCTAAAGAGGTCAATATGTGTTCTTGCTTCCCCCCCTCCCTCCCCCTCAAAAAAAAAAAAAAAAAAAAAGGTCACAAAAGGTGCAAGTGATGATCTGTGTTTTTTCATACACTCACACCTCATTTCTAGGAGTCTAATTTCATCAGTGAGGTAATCCTTTTTTGGTTTGTACATTAAAATTCCTACCGTCACATTAATTATTCCTCTCAACATTCTATATATATATATGAACAAGTACAATTTTATGAAGGCCAGATTTGCAAACAATTATTAAGGTTAAAGTAATACATTATTTTATGTATCCAAAAAAATTCTGGTGCTAAGTGATTCCAATTTTTAAGTTACTATTTTCCTACTCTGATTACAGTGGAACACTGAACCCCCTTTTCTTAGTATGTTACATAGTAAAGCTGTGAAGCTAGTACATATTTTATACAGTTTGTATGAGTCACAACCATATCAACCCAGGTATTTACAGAAGCATTTTTTGAAGTAAGACTCTAAACCCTATGTATAATCTAGGCAGTCTTGTTTTATTTTTTTATTTTTTTCTTTCCTTCCCTCCTAGGACAGATATGTGTTGACTGCTCACTGTGTTTTAGGCTGTTGAATCATAGCACCAAACGAAACATGCCAAGTTCTTATTCTCATGGAAATTATACTGCATGGGATGGAGGGAGAAAAGAAAATAAGCAAATGAATCCTATATAATAAAGAGCTAATATGCAAATGGCCGTCATGCCCTCATGCCATCACAATCCATCACCAGGAGGCTGTGTGTGCAGCGGGGGTGCGCGACTGGGCAGGGACTTGACGCTGCATGTGCAGCATGGAGGCAGGTCCGGTGGCTCTGCACGGTGATGACAGGGGGCCTGGCAGCTCCGTGCAGCGAGGCCTGGGGTCCCACAGCTCCACGTGGTGCAGAGGCGGGACCCCCAGCTCTGGCCTACCTCTTTTGGGCCAT